AGTATATATATATATATATATATATATATATATATATATATATTATATGTCTACAATACAATTATAATATTGCACATATATATGGTATGTATATATAAATGTATGTAATATATATATATATAATATAACATGTATATAATATGGTATATATATATCTATATACATAACAGTTCATATGTGGATGAAAGCATATCTATATATGCATTTTTCTCTTCTCTCTCTATGTATATATATATATATATATATATGTATTGTTTTTACTTGCATACTTATGCATATACATATATGAAATACTTTAATAAAGTTTTGTGTCTATAAATCCAATATACGTTTATGGAGGAGGAAGGCAGAGAGTTGGGTGCTTATCGCTGCATGCATGTCTGTCTGCTGCTTAGCGTTTGGAGCTCAGGGTTTAGGGTTTAGGGTTTAGGGTTTAGGGTTTAGGGTTTAGGGTTTAGGGTTTGTTTGCTGCAGGTTTTTGCTGCCCAAGGTGCTGCGGCTGCAAATGGCGGCCACTCATGCTGCTGTTGTTTTAATTCAATCTTGGTGGAGAGGAAACAGAGTCCGGAGAATTCTGCAAGAAGAAAAACTCAAGTGCATTCTTTCCAAAGAAAAAGTAATTAGGGTTTAGGGTTTAGGGTTTAGGGTTTAGGGTTTAGGGTTTAGGGGATGGGCGAAAGACTGAACTGGCAGCTGGATGCTTCGGCCCCGCCAAGTGCCCGCTGCCACTGCTGTTGCTGCTGCTGCTGCTGCTGCTGCTGCTGCTGCTGCTGCCACTGTCACTACTGCTGCTGCTGCTGCTACGCCTCCTGTTTCTGCTGCCGCCTACTGCTGCTGCTTTTGTTGCTGCTGCTTCTACTACTTTTGCTGCTGCTGCTGCTGCTGCTGCTGCTGCTGCTGCTGCAGGTGCTGGCGGACAAGAAGACTTATCGGGAGTGCGCCGTCGCGATGGAGCTGATGGAAGTGCGTGCAGCTTTTCTTTGAAAAATAAAAGATAAATTAATTAATTAATTAATTAATTAATTAATTAATTAAATGATTTATTTAATTCATAAATTGATTCAAATTATTGATTCTCAAACTATTTAGTTTACCGAATCGACTGCTTGTTAATTGACGCACTCTTGCAGCTCAGCGGAGCCGCGTTGCTGCTGCTATTTTATGGCTTGAGTCCAAACCCTAAACCCTAAACCCTAAACCCTAAACCCTGGACAGGCCCTAAGGTTCAGGAACCCCTAAACCCTAAACCCTAAGCCCTAGAGATTGCTGCTATCGGGTGTATGGACAGCCTACTCTTTGACGTGTTAGGACTGCTTGGGTGCCTAGGGCTTATTCCTTCTGCTTTAGGGTTTAGGGTTTAGGGTTTAGGGTTTAGGGTTTAGGGTTTAGGGTTTGCTTCAGCTCAAAGAGCGTTTGGGCTCATTCGGCGAGGGTCTTCAGCTGGTGCATGTGACTGCCAGTGTGGAGGGCAAGGAGGTTTATCCGCTAGGTGAGGGTTTCCAGAACAAAAGAATTAATTAAAAAATAAATAAAATAAATAAACAAATAAAATAAATAAAATAAATAAATAAATGAATAAATAAATAAATTGACAATGAATCTGCCGGCGTGCCGTAGCTGCCCCTCCGTGACTGCGAACATGCGCCTTCCCAGCCACTCCCGAAACCCTAAACCCTAATTTGTGGTTTGGCGTCTCAGAGTGGGCGGAGGGTTTGCGGCACTTGATGCTCTGCAACCAAGAAAGCACTTTAACTCAAATTGCTGTTGGGGCTTTCCACACAATATTAGTCAGCAGCAAGGGTTTAGTTTACAGCTATGGTTTGAATGACCGCATGCAGTTGGGGGCCCCCCCGGGGCCCCGGGGGCCCCCCCGGGGGGCCCCCTGGGGCGGGGGGGCCCCCGGGGGCCCCTGGGGGGCCCCCGGGGGGGCCCCCCTGCCTAGGGGGCCCCTCAGGGGCCTCCCGCAGCCCCTCAAAGTCAAGGCCTTGGAGTGTGGGGTGGACCATTCGGTGTTGTTGACAGAAGAGGGTTTTGTTTATTCTTGGGGGGCCAACAAGTAGTGAGTTTGTGGAATAAAAAGGAGTTTTAATGGATTTTAAGCTGGAGTTTTATCTTTTAATTGGATTTTAATTCATTTAAATCCAGTTTTATCTTTTAATTGGCTTTTAATTCATTTAAATCCTCTTTTATCTTTTAAATGACTCTTAATTTGTTCAATTTGAATTTCTTCTTTTATTCCACTTGTGGGGCCAAAGGGGCCCCTCAATGGGCGAAAATGCCATTAATACCATTTTTGCCATTTTTATTTTTATTTTTATTTATTTTTATTTTTATTATTTCTTTTTCTTTTTTCTTTTTCTTCCAGTTGTCTGCTTTTGTCTCTTTTTCTTTTCTTCTTTTTCCTCGAATTGTCTTCTTTCTTTTTCTTTCTTTTTTTCCTTTTCTGTTAATTGTCTCCTTTCTTTTTCTTTTTCTTCTTTTTTGCTTTATTTGTTTCATTTTGTTTTTTCTCTTTTCTTTTTTTCCTTTCAATTGCCTCCATTTCTCCCTTTCTTTTTTATTTTTGAATTATCTCCGTTTATCTCTTTTTCTTTTTTTTTATTTGAATAATTTCTTCTTTTTCTTTTATGCTTTCATTTCTTTTTCATTTTATCCAAATGGTCCCACTTCTTTCATTTCTTTTTTATTTTACTTGAATAATCCCTCTCATTTATTTTTCTTTTTTAATTTTATTTGAATAACCTCTTCCTTTTTTCCTTTATTAATTCTTTTTTATTTAATTCAAACAATATCTTTATTTATTCTTCTTTGTATTCCAATTCAAACAATATATATTATTTATTTTTATTTTTAATTTAATTTAAATATCTTTTTATATTTTTATTTTTAATTTAATTTAAATATCTTTTTAATTTTTTATTTGCTGCAGCGGCCAGTGCGGCTGCGCCCCTCGCCAGCCTTTTGTTTGCGAGCCAACTCGTTTGCGTTTTCAACATCCGAGAGAACCCAAAGAAGGGGCTCGAATTACAACAATTGGGTAAACCCTAAACCCTAAACCCTAAACCCTAAACCCTAGGCGCTAAACACTGGGCTCCGGTCTGCTCCCCGGCTGCTGCGGAAACAGCGGCAACTGCCGACTTCGAGGCGCCTAGCTAGCTAGCTAGCTACCTAGCTAGCTGGTAGAACTAGCTAGCTAGCCAGCTAACTAGTAGAGCTAGTTAGCTGGACAGCTAGCTAGCTAGGCGCCTAGCTAGTTAGATAGTCAATAGCTAGCTGGGGTCTGCTGCCTGGAAGCTAGCTAGCTCCCAGGCCCACTGCTAGCCAGCCTCTGTGCCAGCTAGCTCGCTAGCTGGCTAGTATAACTAGCCAGCTTGCTAGCTCATTAGCTAGCCAGTACAACTAGCTCGCTAGCTCGCTAGCTAGCTCGCTAGCTAGCCAGTGCAACTAGTTCGCTAGCTAGCTAGGCAGTAGAACAAGCTAGCCAGCTAGGTAGCTAGATGGTGGCTAGCTAGCAGATGGCTAGCTAGGTAGCTAGCTAGCTGTGTGGATGGTGGCCAGCTAGCTAATGGCTAGCTAGCTAGCTAGCTGCGTGGCTGTGCTGCAGCGTGGGGGGCTACCACAACGGGGCGCTGGACTGCAGCGGGAGATTATACATGTGGGGCCGGGGCTCTCACATTTATATTAAGGGAGTTGTCAGTGACTTGCCGTTGGTGAGTTTTTCTTTTTTCTTCTTTTTAACTCTTTTTGACTTCATTTTAACTCCTTTTTGTCTTCTTTTCAGCTCATTTTTTCCTTCTTTTTAGCTCCTTTTTGTCTTCTTTCCAACTGCTTTTTGTCTTCTTTTTAGCTCCCTTTTTAGCTCCTCTTTGTCTTCTTTTCAACAGCTTTTTGTCTTCTTTCAACTGCCTTTTCAGCTCCTTTCTGCCTTCTTTTCGGCTCCTTTTTCTCATTTTTCGAGCAATTTTTTGTCTTTTTCCTCCCCTTTTTCTCTCCCTGCAAACCTCCCTTAAATCCCTTTAATTATCCCTCCAATTCCCTTTTAATTTCCTCCAAAACTCCAAAAAAATTCCTCTCCAGCGCCTCCAAACTCGCGTGCGCAGCCGCTGTGGATCTCGCTGCGGGAGCTGCTGGAGGCGCCGGCTGCGGTGTCTGTACACTGCGGGCTCGGCCTCACTTACTTGCTGCTTTCCGATGGATCACTTTTATCTTTTGGGAGTTCTTTGGAGGGTCAGTTGGGTTTGGGGGCTGGCTGTCGGGGTGTACGTACACCCCAGCGGGTCCCGCTGCCCCACCAAACCCTCAGCCTCCGCTGCGGCCCCAACTCCACTTTGGCGCTTACGGCTGCTGGCCAGCTTTTCCAGTGGGGCACTTTTCTCCTTTGGGACGAAGAGGAGGAGGTCCGTCGAAGGGTTTAGGGTTTAGGGTTTAGGGTTTAGGGTTTAGGGTTTAGGGTTTAGGGTTTAGGGTTTGGGGTT